TACTGTGTGTCAGAGAGTAAACTGTTTCCTAATGCATCCTTTCACTCAAGGTGAAAGGGCCTAGTTTTCTGTCCTTTAACCCAATCCTGCCTTTACTGGGACCATGGAGCATTGCCAGAGTGGTCTCTATGCTTCTGGCCCCTGTGGATGCCCCTTACAGACCTGACAGATCAGCTCTGCTCTCAAAGGCATGTTTATCATGACACATTCGCTTTTAGGTGTTTGCTTTCAGAGGACTTGGAAGTTATTATAGCTCCCACACCGCTAGCTCTCATTAAGTGTTTTTTGCATTGTAATAATTCACAACACAGAAATATTAAAAGCGAAATTAATAACCTTTTCCTTTCTTTCTCCTTCTCCCAAATAGAATATGTTAACAATTTGATATATACCCTTCGACACTTCTCCCTTTTCTTATATAAATACATATATGAGTCTCTGGTGGCACAAATGGTTAAGCACTTGACTATGAATGGAAAGGTTGGCAGTTCAAACCCACCCAGACGCATCACAGAAGAAAGGCCTGGTGATCTGCTTCTGAAAGGTCACACACAGCCTTGAAAACTCTATGGAACACGGTTCTATTCTGCACACATAGGGTCGCTGTGAGTCAGAATCGACTCGACAGCAAATGTTTTTTCTTTAATAGTTATATATAGTTAAAAATGTAATTAAATAATAAATATATTACTCTATAACTGATTTTGTTTCCTTAATAGTATATTATATCCTGTAAACACTGCTTTTCCCACTTCAGTATAAAAGGAAGACACTTCATTAACTTGCTGGACAAGTGAGAGGTGAATTTAATAAAGTCTGTGATCCAGCTCGCAGGGCCCTGTGCTTGATGTCCTGTCGCCCTCAGGTCTTCAAGAGACAGGCTGAGTATCACCATGCTTTCCTCTGATGCAACCCCAACTGATACACTAAACCAAAACAACCCACCCCCCGCCCCCACACTGCTGTCGAGTCGAATCTGACTCATAGTGACCCTATAGGACAGAGTAGAACTGCCCCATAGGGTTTCCAAGGAGCAGCTGGTGGACTCAAACTACCGACCTTTTGGTTAGCAGCCCAGCTCTTAACCATTGCGCCACTGACACACTACATTTTATCATTTAAAAAAAAATTGTAATTATGATTAGATTGCACATTTCTCCAGGAGTTTTTCATTGTAAGACCTTCCTCTCACACTAGCTCATTTTACTTCTGTAGACTCTGCCTTATTCAACAAGACATCCATTCCCCAAACAGCATACCCATACCAGATCTGTATCTCTCGTACTTTACTGAGGCCTGCCACACAGAGAGAGCTCAAAAATATTTGTTGAATGTGGGGATAAAATAGTAAAATGGAAAGCTTGTTTGAAAGAAACTATGTCACTGTAACATCTCAGCTACAGAGAGATTTTACCTGATATTTCCTAGTGGTGTCAATAATTCAAGGAGCACTGGTGGTGCAAACGGTTAAGCTCTTGGCTGCTAACTGAAAGGATGGTGGTTCAAACCCACAGGCGGCTCCGAGGGAGAAAAGACCTGGTGATCTTTTAGATTACAGTCTAGCAAGCCCTACGGGGCAGTTCTGTTCTATCACATAGGGTCACCGTGAGTCGAAAATGACTCGATGGCGCCTATCAAGACCAATGCTAATAATCTGCCCAACTAAAAAATACTCATCAGAGAATGACACATTTCAAAAGTAGCCATCTTCCCCAAGAAAAATAACATTTAGTGATTTTTTTTTTTCAGATTATAAAATACCTTGTTAATTATTGAAAACATGGCTGAAAAAACACAAAGAAGGAAAGGAAATTTAGAAAGGTTACTGTGTGGTCCAGCCCAGTTGCTTTAAAATAATAGAGGGTTTACTGCAACATAATTTGAGGCAGCATTCTTTAATAGCTACACAATAAATAAAAATACCACTACCGCTGGCAAGGTTTTCTAAAGCCAGCACATCCACTTTCAGATGTAATTTGTATCTCTGCACCATTAGGGCTCTCGCCAAGACTAGCTTTTAGAAATTCACAGCACTTTCAAAAGAAAAGTGTCTTGCACCTGGCCAGAGATAAAATGCTATGTATCCCGAGAGGAGGACTTCATCTGTTCCCCACCTTCCTACCGCTCCAGAGAACAGCAACACAGAAAGACGAACTTACTAAACCCACTGCCATCAAGGAGATTCCGACTCATAGCGACCTTACAGGACAGAGCAGAACTGCCCCAGAGGATTTCAAGGCTTAATCTTTATGGAAGCAGGCTGCCACATCTTTCTCCTGCAGAGTAGCTGGTGTGCTCGAACTGCCAGTCTTTTGGTTAGCAGTTGAGTGCTTAACCACTGTGCTACCAGGGCTCCTTGAACTTAATCAAAGGCAGCTGTAAAACTCTAAAATAGCCTCAGATAGGACACAGACAGCAATCCACTTCACAGACATAAACTAAAAATACTGGAGCTGACTTTCAGAGACAGGGTGAATTTCCCCGCAATGTTCACTCATTTTGGGGATTCTCAGTTGCCCAAAAAAGGTACTTGACTTTTAACACTCCACAGCTTTGACTACTGTCTCAGACCGATGACTTCCAAATCTTTATTTCTAGCCATCTTATCCCTAGAACTCCAGACTTATGTAACCTATGAGCTGTTTGGACCTATATTTGGATATTTAAAAGACATCTCAACTTTCACAGCCAACAGAGAACTTAAGAAATTATTCCCCAAACTTGCCCTCCCTCATTTTCTCCATCTCAGTAAACTGTTCCACCTCCACACATTGCTCAAGCCCAAAACACAAATGCTAGTCTTGATTTCTTTTGCTCTTCCACACCCCACCCCCACAACTAATCTAGCAACAAGTTCTACTGAGTCTACTTCCAAAATGTATCCCTAACACAACCACATCTCTCCAACTGTGTTACCACCGGACCTTCTCCAAGGTGTCACATTTCTTGCTTGGATTAGACAGTAGCTTCCTAACTGGTCTTCCTACTTCAACCACTGTGCTCTACAACCCATGCATGACAGAGTAGGAGGGTGATCTTTTAAAACCATAAATCAGATCACACCATTCCGAAGCCTAAAACCCTTTCCTAGTACACACAGTATATAAAAGCTTCCTATTAACTAGTGTAATAGGCTTAAAAGGCTCAGTACAATCTGGCCCCACCTCTCTGATTCATCTTGTACCACTGCCAACCCCAGTGGGGTTGTCTCAGGACCTTTGCACTTGCTATGCCCTCTGCCTAGAATGCTCTTACTCTAAGCCTCTGTATACTGGGTTGCTTCTTACTATTGTTGTTGTAAGGTGTCATTGAGCTGGTTCTGACTCATAGTGACCCTATGTACAACAGAACAAAACACTGCCTAGCCCTGTGCCATCCTCACAATTGCTGCTATGTTTGAGCCCACTGTTGCAGCCACTGTGTCAATCCATCTCGTTAAGGGTCTCCCTCTTTTTGAGTCGGAATCGACTCGACAGCAATGGGGCTACTTTACCAAGCATGACGTCCTTCTCTAGGGACTGGTCCCTCCTGATAACATGTCCAAAGCACCTGCTTCTAAGGAGCATTCTGGCTGTACTTCTTCCAAGACAGAATTGTTCAGTCTTCTGGCAGTCCATAGTATATTCAATATTTAGGTATCAGCTTTTAAAATGTCACCTCCTCAGAAAAGCCTTCCTGCTTATGCTAAAACACCCAACCACAATATCCAGCAAAACAAGACATGCATTCACCCTTTGACCCAGAAATCCACTTACAGGAATCCATCCCAAAGAAACAATCGCAAAATATGGAAGATAATGGTTGCACAACATGACTGATATAATTAGTCTCAGTGAATTTTACACATGAAAAATGTTGAATTGGCAAGTGTTGTGTTATCTATATTTTTACAACAATAAAGAAAGAAATATGAAAGAAGACAACCAAACATTACATACCGCCTGATGGAAGTACACAATATTGCTAACGAAACAGTCTTGAAAAATCCACACACCTGAATCTGATCAATCTTTTCTCAATTTAACTACTAACCCACAGGAAATACAGACGGCAGAAACCGTCAGCAAAATCTAAAACATGGGGAGCTTGACCGAATAAATGATTCAGTTTCTTTAAAAAAATAAATTACAAAGGAGAAAATACAGATGGAATAACATTTTTTAAAATTAAGAGACAATCCAATTACAATGTATGGCCCCTATTTGGATCGTGATTCAAAAATACTGTTAAAAAAGAAAGAACTGGGAAAACTTAAAGTCCATGCTCTAATAATGAAGGAATTATTGTGAAAATTATTTATGTGTCAGATGGTACTCTGGATCAGTGTTTAAAAAGAGTACATATCTAAGAGATACATACTGAAATAGTTATGGATGAGTGCTACAATACAGGGGATGTGCTTCAAAACTACCTGGGTCAAGGGCAGAGAAAAATGGGAAAGGCCTGGTGATCTGCTTCTGTAAAGATTATAGTCAATGAAACCCTACGGAGCAGTTCTACTCTAACACATGGGCTCGCCATGAGTCAGAATGAACTATACAGCAATGTGTTTGGTTTTGGTGTATAGTTAAAACCACACTAGTCATGAGTTTATAATTTTGAACCTGGGTGATGGATGGTTGGGGGTCCAAAAGACTATTCTCTCTACTTCTGTATCTGTTTGAAATTTTCCATAATAATTTCTTTTAAAAGCCAACCAATTAAGCACTATAACACTATTTTATTTCTCAGCTTATCAATGTCCTTATGTAGTTTTTTTAAATTCATTTTTTGTCGATTGTCTATCTCCTACTAAAACATAAGTTCTGTAAGAGCAAGAGCTTAGTCTTCTTCTCTGCTGTTTCTCAAATGCCCAGAACAGTGCCCAGGGTCTTAATGTATATTTCTGAAGAAAGAAATGAAATCTCTGGGACCTGCTTTAGAGTTTTAAGCAACTGAAACGCCACTGTGGCGGGCAGAACATCATGGTCAACGTGCACGCCTTAGCCAGCAAGGCTCACCTTCACTTCAATGAAGTCAGGATTCCCAAGGGACACCAGCTCAGCGTAGGCCTGGAGCTCATCCACATTCCACGCTTTCACGAGTGTCAGTCTGTAGACGGTCCGTTGTTGCTGAAACAAAGGAGAAGCCAACTTTGTTTTCATCTTGGTGGAAGTCACATAGTAACCAAACCCCAAACTTTCTCTACCCATAGCTAACCCAGGTAGGGCCGAACACAGCATCAACTTCTCTAAGTTGAAGTGATATTTTGCAGATAGATGAAAAAAATGTAAACAATGCAATAAGATCTTCATAAGCCTTATGAGGGTATATATAGTGACATATTCTTTTTCCCTCACAATATCTAACACTGCGTTTGGCACCTGTCATGGATTGAATTGTGCTCCCCAAAAATATCTGTCAACCTGGCTAGGTCACGATTCCCAGTATTGTATGATTGTCTATCACTTTGTCATCTGATGTTATTTCCCTATGTGTTGTAAATCCTATCACTATGATGTTAATGAGATGGATTAGCAGCAGTTATATTGATGAGATCTACAAGATTAGATAGTGTCTTAAGCCAATCTCTTTTGAGATATAAAAGAGAGAAGCGAGCAGAGAGCTAGGGGGACCTCACACCACCAAGAAAGCAGTGCCAGGAGCAGAGTGCGTCTTTTGGACCTGAGGTTCCTGCACTGAGATGCTCCCAGACCAAGAGAAGACTGATGACAAGGACCTTCCTCCAGAGCCGACAGAGAGAGAAAGTCTTCCTTGGAGCCGGTGCCCTGAATTCGGACTTCTAGCCTAATGGACTGTGAGAGAATAAACTCTTTGTTAAAGCCATCCACTTGTGGTATTTCTGTTATAGTAGCACTAGATAACTAAGACAGCACTCAAAAATTTCTTGACAAACACACCCTGAATTAGATTTAGTAAAGTATAGCAAATTGACCAAATAGCTTTTGGCTGTGGAAAATTAATTAAAGTAACCTTCAGGCTTTCTGGTACTAATCACTCACGTTGTTAATGACAAGAATTTCCAATGACTCTTGTTCTCTTTCCTGCTTTCTCATTATTTAATGATCTCTTGGCATTTCTTGTTGGCAGAAACGCACATTCATGAACTGTCAATGTTGCCATTTGTTTATCATTTAACCAAAAGAGTAACCAGCGTTCTGAAAAGCAAGTAGACCGCAGCCCCCTAAGCCTTAAAGAAGTTCACACCCTTTGCCTTTGCAGGTCTCCGCCAGGATCCCACCCCAAACAAATGATTAGAAATGCAAAGACTTATTTAAAAACCTCAAGACAACATTATTGATGATCATTTGAAAGCTAAAGCAAGACTCCTTCCCCGAGTGGAAGCAGGACCTGTGGCTTCCTCTAACCATGGCAAAGGTGATGGCATATATGGTTACGTGTATATGCTTACGTTACATAAGACTACAGTGCATATCCTCCTGGAGTCTCACTGTCTGTCTCTCTCTCTCTCTTTCTCTCTGGCTTTGAGGAAGCAAGTAGCCACGCTGGGGAACCCCATACGTATCGAGGAATTACAGGCGACTTTTAGGTGCTAAGGGCGGCCTCCAACCAACAACCAGCAAGACAATGAAGCCCTCAGTCCTATAGCCACAAGGACATGATTTCGCAACAACTTGAGAGAGCATGGAAGGAGATCCTTTCTGAATGGAGACCCCAGCTCTGACTGACAGACTGGCTGCAGCCTTGGGAGACTCTGAACAAAGGACCCAGCTAAGCTGTGCCCAGACTTCCTAATCACAGAAATTGTGGGATAGTAAATGTGTGTTGTTTAAACCTACTAAATATTGTTATGCAGCAAGAGATAACACACCAAATTTCCAACAACAGAAAAATGACTAATAAAATTATCATGAAATAGTGTGAAAGTCTAGAAACAAATCCAAATTTCTATAAATACAGGATGAGACAAATAAACTATGGTATAACCACAAAACAGAATACTACACAGCTGAAGAACAGAAGGAGAAAAATCTCTACATATTCCTGTGATGTAATCTCCAGTGTATACTGTTAGGTGAAAAAAGACAAGAAGCAGAAGACTATTTATAGCTGTGTGAGGTTACGGGAAACAAATATATAAAGGCGGAAGGAGAAAAAAGAGTGGAGGGGGACAGGAATGGTAGCTAGAGTGAATGGACCTTGTTTTGTAACTTTAACTTTGGAACTAAGGAAATCTTTTATATAATGAAAAATAATTAATTATAAAGAAAAAATATATCCCTAAAAATTCTAAGCACACAGCAAATATGGATCCAACTGTATATCAAGTTAGTGGCATACTAATACAGAGAAGGAAATGTCTAGTGACTTAAAAACGATTTGACTGTGCATCTCCACGTCCTCACCACCAATTATTATTGTCTTTTTTATTTTGGCCATGCTAGTGGGTGAAGGAGTCCCTGGGTAGCCCAAATGGGTAAATACTGGACTACTAACCAAGAGACTGGAGGTTCAAATCCACCCACAGGTGTCTCAGAAGAACGACCTAGTGATCTCCAGAAAGGTCACAGCCATGAACACCCTAGAAGGGTGGTTGTACTCTGAAACACATGGGGTCGTCATGAATCGGAATCGACTCAACAGCAACTGGTAGCGGGTATGAAGTAATGTCCCTTGTGGTTTTGATTTATATTTCCCGAATGACTAATGATAGGTCCCTGGATGGTGAAAACGGTTAAGTGGTCAACTACTAGCCAAAACACTGGTGGTTCAAACCCACCCAGAGGGACACTGGAAGACAGGCCTGGTGATCTCCTTCCAAAGGGCCACAGTCTTGAAAACCCTGTGGAGCAGTTCTACCCTTCATACATGGGGTCACCATGAGTCAGAATAGACTCGAAACCAACTAACAACAATGATGTTGAGCATCTTTTCATGTGCTTATGGGTCATTTAAATGTCTATTTAAATTCTGTCCATTTTTAAACTGGGTTATTTGTCTTCTTCTTATTAAGTTGTAAGAATTTTTATATATTCTGGATACAATCCCTTATTGGATATATGATCTGCAAATATTTTCTCCCGTTCTGTGAAGTTGTCTTTGGTTTCACATTTTAAATTTTGATGAAGTGAAATTTATCTCTTTTTTTTTTCCCTTTATCATTTTTTCCTTTATAGTTGGAGGCTTCGGTGTCACATCTAATAAGTCACTACCTAACCTAAGGTCAAACAGATTTACTCCTATGTTTTCTTAGAAGCGTTTTACAGTTTTAGCTATTAAATCTAGATTTGTGACCCATTTTGAGTTAATTTTTACTTGTGGTGTGAAGTAGGTAGGGTCCAAATTCATTCTTTTAAAAGTGGATATCCAGTTGTCCCAGTACCATGTGTTGAAAAGACTATCTCTACTGCCCTACAATGAATAGTACTGGTACCTATGTCAAAAATCAGTTGACTATAAAAGGAAGAGTTCATTCCTGACTCTCAATTCTACCCATTGATCTACATGTCTTGTCCTTATGATAGCACCACCCTGTCTTCATTACTTTATAGTAACTTCTGAAATTGAGAAGTGTAAGTCTTCCAACTTTGCTCTTTTCAAGATTACTATGGCTATTCTGGGTCCATGATTTATTTTGTAATTTCTTAAAAAACAAAGGATTTTTAAATTCTGCCCATGGAAAAAGGATATAAACAATGATACCGAATAGCAATAACTGCTCCTAACACCCAGACTGTGATTTCTGAGCACCTTTTTCTACAAAAAGGAATCAGGGGAAATGGCTGATTAAAGTTCTAGGCAGGAAATATACAAGCCGAAACCAGGGTAATTTTGCTAGAAAGCAAGGAAGCTGTCAAAGATTAGCTAGGTTCATGTCCAATGGACGCAGAAGCCAACATGAAGGGAATCCCACTGGAACAACAACAACAAGGTTGATTTGATTTGAATATCAAAAAGAATCATCAATAATGGTGTGTATTTCAAGGCTCGGGGGATATCTAGGTCAACTGGCATAACATAGTTCATAAAGAAAATGTTTTATATCCTACTTTGGTGAGTAGTGTCTGGGGTCTTAAAAGCTTGTATCTAAGATACCTTTATTGGTCCCATCACGTCCGGAGAAAGGAGAATGAAGAAAACCAAAGACAAAGGAAAATATTAGCACAAAGAACCACATGAAACATAGCCTCTACCAGTCTGAGCCCAGAAGAACTAGATGGTGCCTGGCTACCATCACCGATGGCTCTGACAGGGACTACAATAGAGTGTACTGGACAGAGCAGGAGAAAAATGGAGAACAAAATTCAAATTCACAAAAAAAAAAAAAAAAAAGACCAGACTTACTGGTCTGACAGAGACTGAAGGAATACCTGAGACTACGGCCCCCAGACACCCTGCTAACTCAGAACCGAAGCCACTCCCAAAGCCCACTTTTTCAGCCAAAGATTAGACAGGCCTATAAAACAAACAATAACACATGTGAGGAATGTGCTTCTTAGTTTAATCAAATATATGAGACTAAATAAGCAACTCCTGCTCAAAAGCAAGATGAGAAGGCAGGAAGGGACAGGAAAACTGGACAAATGGACACAGGGAACCAGGGTGGAAACAGGGAGAGTGCTGACACATTGCAAGGATTGCAACCAATGTCTCAAAACAAATTTGTATATAAATTTCTGAATGAGAAACTAACTTGCATTGTAGACTTTCACCTAAAGCACAATAAAATTGTTTAAAAAAAAAAAAAGAATGGGGCAGTATTTCAGGGTCACTAAGTAATTGATGAGGGAAAAACTCATTTTAAGGACAATCTCAACTAATTAATGCAGAAGGAATGAAAAAAGAAAAAATTTCAGATCACTAGTTATAGCCCATCAGAAAATAGTGGATCAAAACAACACCTTCCAAATGAGGTTAATGCCATTAAGCGAAAGGTCAATGAGGAACCTTAGACTGAACGGACCAGGCTGACAATACCTGTACCCGCTGACCAACCGCATTACTTAAAGTAGGCCAACTAGACCAGCAGTTCCCAAACTTCTCTGTACACTAGAATCAACTAGAAAACTTCAAAGAGTACCTAAAGCTGCGCCCCACTCCTAGAGACTGTGATTTAATTGGGCTGGCATGTAGCCTGGACTTTTTAAAG